CACTATTGTAAAAAACGAATTCACCACTTATGTGTAGGTGTATTTCTGTACCATCTTCTGTTTTACACAGGTCTCATTACTGTAGCTTTATAGTAAGTCTTGGTATCAGGTAGTGTATTTCCTGCAACTCCATTCTTATTTGTTTAAATAGTTTTGGCTCTTCTGTTCCTTGTATTTCCATAAATGTGTAGAAATATATACATACATAAATATATGTATGTTTTAAAGCCAATTTGTCAAAATCTGCAAAGAAAAATACCAGAATTTTAATTGGGCTGTGTTGTTTTTATTTGGGGAATCTATCATCTTATTAACATTGAGTCTTCTGATCCATGAACATGGTCCATATTTATACTTATTTACTGATACTTAATTTCTCTCAGCAATGTTTTGTAGTTTTCAGTATACAGATCTTGTAGGTACTTCGTTAACTTTATCCTTAAATATGTCATTTTTAAAAAACTATTGTAACAGGGGTTATGGACATTGGGGAGGGTATGTGCTATGGTGAGTGCTGTGAAGTGTGTAAACCTGGAGATTCACAGACCTGTACCCCTGGGGAAAAAATATATATATGTTTGTAAAAAATAAAATTAAAAAAAAAAACTATTATAACAATATTATTTTTCAAATATCATTTTTATAATTGTTTCTTGTTGGTGAGTAGAATATGATTAGTTTCATTTATGCATACCACCTCATATCCTGCAAGCTTTTTGTAAATTTCTTGAGATTTCCCAGCAATTATATCAACTGTGAATAGACAGTATTGCACTTTCCTCTTTATTATTTATGCCTTTTATTTCTTTTCTTTTCTCTTTTTTTAATCTTTGTTTTTTTTTTTGTTTTTTTTTTTTTAAAGATTTTTATTTATTTATTTGAGAGAGAGACAGTGAGAGAGAGCATGAGTGAGGAGAAGGTCAGAGAGAGAAGCAGACTCCCCGCGGAGCCGGGAGCCCGATGCGGGACTCGATCCCGGGACTCTAGGATCATGACCTGAGCCGAAGGCAGTCGTCCAACCAACTGAGCCACCCAGGCGTCCCTAATCTTTGTTTTTTGTTTTTGTTTTACCATTCTGTCTAGGACCTCTAGTACCTTATTGGTAAGTGGTAAAAGCAAACACCTTTTATTTTTCTTGGTCTTAGCAGAAAGGCATTCCATTCTCTATCATCAAGTATGATGTTTTCTGTAAGGGTTTTCATAGATAATGGTTATCAGACTGAGGAAATCCCCCATTTCTAGTTCATACAAAGTTTTTTAACATGAAGGGCATTCAGTTTTATCAAGTGCTTTATCTTCTTCATTTATTGCATTTTTTTTCATTCTGTCAATACACACAAATTTATTTTCAAATGAGATGAGATATATCAGCTTAAATTTGTTTTTTTAATATTTTTGCCTATTATTTTTTAATCATAATAATGCTGTTCTCATAAAATAAGTGTTACTTCTTCTTCTGTTTTCCAGAAGAGTCTTGGAAGGACTGACATTGTTTCTTCCTTAAATGTGTGATAGAATTCACCAGTAATTCCATCTGGTCGTGATATCTTGGGCGGGGTGGTTAACTACAACTTCAGTTTCTCTAAAGAGTGATAAGTTTATTGAGGTTCTCTATTTTTTCTTGAATGAACACTGGTAGTTTGTATCTTTCAAGGATTTTGTTAATTTTAGGTTGTTGAATGTATTGGTACAAAGTTGTTCATAAAATTTTTCCTTTTTTTTTTTTTTACCCTTTTAAGTTCTGTGGGATCTTTAGTGATAGCTCCTCTTATTCCTGATATTAGTAATCTGTATCTTTTCTCTTTTTTCCTGATTAATCTGAAGTATATAAATTTCACTGATCATTTCAAAACAATAGGTTTTGTTTCATTGACTTTTCTTTATTGTTTTTCTGTTTTCTATTTATTGACTCTTAGCTCTTCTATTTTTTTCTTTCTACTTTTATTTTAATTTGCTCTTCTTTTCTTAGTTTTTTAAGGAGAAAACAGATCACTCTTTTGAGACCTTACTTATTTAATCATTTACAATTGTTATAAATTTCCCTCAAAGAATTGCTTAGCTGCATATGACTAATTAGATGTAACGTGCCTTTATTACCAATGATTTCAAATACTCCCTAGTTTCCTTTGTGATTTCTTCTTTATTCCATGGATTGTTTAGAGGTAATCTGATTAAAACAGGTATCTAAGGATTTCCTGAATGTTTTATTGTCATCAATTAGTCTTTTCATTCTATTATCAGAAAGCATACTCTTCAAGATTTCAATAATTTGAAATCTGTTGAGACTTATTACCAGCATAGGACTCCATGAGCATTAAAAAGCACAGGTATGGGCGCCTGGGTGGCTCAGTTGGTTAAGCAACTGTCTCCGGCTCAGGTCATGATCCTGGAATCCTGGGATCGAGTCCCACATGCGGCTCCCAGCTCCACGAGGAGTCTGCTTCTCCCTCTGACCTTCTCCCTCTCATGCTCTCTCTGTCTCTCTCTCAAATAAATAAATAAAATCTTAAAATAAAATAAAATAAAATAAAATAAAATAAAAAGCACAGGTATGCTTACCCATTTGGATAAAATCAAACTTACATGCCTGCTTGTATTTCTCATATGGGCAAATATTTTGTTAGTACTGGTTTATTTATCTCCATTTGCACCAAAAGCTTTGAATCAGTATCAGCCATGATGGATGGCTTGAAAGGACAGTTTTTGCCTAGATAAAACACACTGGTATAGGAGTCCCCAACTGAAAACTCAAAGTTGGTTCTACAAGTGCTTCCGTCCTCTCAACCACAGTTAAACACTTCATCCTTCCCTCAGTCCTTTCAACTTACTTTCCAAAGTCACTTCTGCCCTAATCCTTTAGTTATAGTATTAACCTGGAAACAAATTTCTATCCTTCATTATCTTAAATTGATTTATTAGGGTATACTTCTATTAATGTTGTTTTTCACTAGGCACTTATCAAGTTTGAGGTCCACAGATTTGCAATAAACCCTAAAGACATACCAAATCCCCAAAACTAGTAACTCATTTTCTGGCTCTCTTACAGTTAAAATTATCTATGTAACTTTGTAATATCTAAGTCTATCTTTCATCACAGACACACTGCCAAGTTTTTAGCTCAAAGAATCAATATTGTGGAGAAGAAACAAGCCTCACAGGACAATATGGGTCTACTGTCAGTCAGAAATACTAAACTTATAATTCACAACAATTAAGGCTCAATCATTACTGACAGAAATCAACTCAGAAGATTAATAGATCAAGGAACAGGAAAAAGTTATCAGAAAAAGGAGGAGAAAGTGTTTTTAGTGAAGCAAGCAAGCAAAAAAACAGATTTCTGGGCTTGGTCCAACAAACATTTATTTCCCATTTTTGGGCTAATCCCCAATTCCAATTTAACACTCAATCTAAGCTGAAAACATTTTGTTTTAAAGAGGGGAAGGTTGGATAGAAGGAAGGAAAGAAGGGCATCTTTTCTATTAACATGAGTTAATGTCTCTTCAAGGTTTCTAAAACAAAAAAAAGTAATACAGAGGAACAAAATATTTTTACATACTAGCTAATACAGCATGTGATCCACATTAATTTCGTTATGAGTTCCTTAAAACTTTAAAATCTCTTTTGGGTTTTATAAATCCAGAGATTCATGAAAAAGCTACAACTATCATTGTTTGTCTTTTTAATCCTCAGCGACAACTTAAACTATCTTTTTATTTTTTTTAAGATTTTATTTATTTATTTGACACAGAGAGAGATCACAAGTAGGCAGAGAGGCAGATGGAGAGAGAGAGGGAAGCAGGTTCCCTGCTGAACAGAGAGCATGATGCGAGGCTCGATCCCAGGACCTGAGCTGAAGGCAGAGGCTTAACCCATTGAGCCACCCAGGCACTCCTCAGCTATCATTTTTATATTAACAAACTTTATTTTGTGTCATCACAGAAAGCAATATTAGACCTTTCCAACATAGGCTAAAATTATCCCAAAATACATACAAAACACTTACCTTTCACTAACAACATATATATGTTCCATGCATATTAGGGCCCAACTGTTAATCATGATTATTATAGGAACTTACTAAAGTGTAATTTTAAACATTTCCCCTTTACTCACAAATTTATACAATTTTATCATTGTGTTTATATATTCACTTATTAAAAAGTCATATTATTCAGCTAAATATCTCCTAAAAGTAATCTAAACTATTTTTCTTTTTTAATTATTGTGTTATGTTAGTCACCATACAGTACGTCATTAGTTTTTGATGTCGTGTTCCAAGATTCATTGTTTACATATGATACCCAATGCTCCATGCAATATGTGCCTTCCTTAAAACCCACCATACGCTCACTCATCTCCCATCCCCCTCCCCTCTAAAACCCTCAGTTTATTTCTCAGAGTCCACAGTCTCTCATGGTTCATCTCTCCCTCTAATGCTCCCTCCTTCACTTTTCTTGTCCTTCTCCTAATGACCTCCATGTTATTCCTTATGTTCCACAAGTAAGTGAAACCATATGATTATTGATTTTCTCTGCTTGACTTATTTCACTCAGCATAATTTCCTCCAGTCCCATCCATGTTGATACAAAAGTTGGGCATTCATCCTTTCTAATGACTGAGTAACAGTCCATTGAGTATACGGACCACATCTTCTTTAACCATTCGTCTATTGAAGGGCATCTTGGCTCTCTCCACAGTTTGGCTATTGTGGCCATTGCTGCTATGAACACTGGGGTGCATATGGCCCTTCTTTTCACTACCTCTGTATCTTTGGGGTAAATACCCAGTAGTGTTTCTTAACTAAATCCATTTGGGAGACTTTTTGGTCTTTTAAACTGAGTTGGCTTATTATGAAGTGGATTGCTACATTTAGACTACTATCATGAAGGAAATGAACACTGTGTGTAGGTACCTAATCACAATCACTAGTTTATTCTTAAGAAAATCCCATAAACTTACATTTATTATCTCCAAAGCCAACAAACACTTTAATCAAATACCTTAGTTAAGAGAGGTTCATTCTGACAAACTGCATTGGCATCCTGGAGAGCCTGCTCGTAGTTCTTCATGGTTAAATATAACTCTGCTCGCAGCAGCAATAACGAATTATCTCTAGGAGCTGAAAGACATGGGCAATAGAAAAAAATTAAAATGACTACATTTAAAAATAAATCTTTAGGTCACTAAAAATATTAAATTGGAAAATAAACATAAAGGCAAAAGAAATATTTCCTCCCTCAAATCATATGCGGTTTAATAGCTTGGTAAGTATACTTTACATAGCTTCTCTCAGGAAAACAGAAAGAGTATCAACAAGACTTCAAAATGCACCAAGAACAGACTGCTGAATACACACTAGGCATAGCATAATCTACAATAATTAGTAAATGCGGAATCATCTTAATGCTATAACTAGGCCTTAAAAATGAAGAGTTAAAATAACTTTCTTGAGGGGTGCCTAGGTGGCTCAAAGGGTTACACATCCGCCTTCAGCTCAGGTCATGACCCCAGGGTCCTGGGGTTAAGCTCTGCATCAGGCTCTTTGCTAAGTGAGGAGCCTGCTTCTCCCTCTCCCCTTGTCTGCTTGTGCTCTCTCTGTTAAATAAATAAATAAAATCTTTAATAAATAAATAACTCTCTTGAAAGTACACAAGGAAATTCATACTCAAGAAACAAAAACGCGTAATTTGTTTTCTTATACAACTGCATGGATGTCGACTTACCATCATAATTGTATCTACAGTATGTCCTCTTAAGTGAGAAAAGAAAGGGAAAAAAAACTTCCTCAAATGGAAGAGAGCTTGAAAACTGCTCGTATGAGACTATGGAGAAACACCTACCTACATAGAAGTCAAGAGTGACTCTGTGAGCTGATGTATGGTATGTGAAGTCCCTGACTTGGCAAGGTACAATGGGAAAGTGACAAAGCCAGAGCTCATGAAAGAAGAACCATCACAGCCATTTTCATACTGATGGACCTGGTTCAGTCTACCTATACTCATCACAGCATCTTTGTTATAGAGCAACAGCATGCATTTTAATTGACAATAAGTATTCTAAGTTTCAGTTTGCTCCAAATCCTAGACGCTGACTCTCTCTCAAACTAGGCACTTGGTACTTTCCAAATGCCACCATGTCTCCTCTTAGTTTATACAGGTAAGTGAGCAAGTGTGCATAGCAAACTCATGCAAAAGGATATTATATCAAGACATGGTGGGGCTACTTATGACTGTGTTATTGCTACATATGTGTGATATAGGGAAGATCTGACAAGGAAAAAAGGTGGAAAAAGAGGAAAGAAATGGCAGAAATGGAGAATCTAGCAATAAAAGTTGAATCTTTTAAAATAACATTGACTGGTTAGAGTAAAGATCAACAACTTTTTTTCTGCAAAAAGCCAAACAGTAAGTATTCTAGGTTTTGTAGGCCAGGAAGAAACTCAAGGCTATTGTACAGGTATCTATATAACAAGAGAGAAAACAAATTTTCACACAAAATTTTTTATTGACAAAATTTAAAAATAACAGTAATAATTTAGTACTTTTTTGTTAACACAGGTCTACTAATTAGAAGAATGGAATTCTTTAGGAGAAGGGACATTTCCTTAAAGTTCAAAGTTGGTGTTCCCTATAATCAAAATAAATTGAAAATGTTCATGTGTTGGTTATGATCTCTAATGAGATTTTATGTTTTTCATCTTGGAATATGAAATATGGATGTCAGTCTACAAGCATATGGTTTTAAAATGAACATTTTGTTGCTTAGAAGTTCTTTGTAGAATTCTATTAGATTCTTCTCACATTTGTCTCTGGAGTATGTCATTGTACAGTAAATATAATTACAGATTAATCATTTCCAACTGAAGACTAAGTGAAAGTTCCTCAAATGCACAATTAAATGCACTTTCAAATACAGAAATAACCTGTAGAGATTTTGGAAATCTCAAAAAAAAAAAAGCCTGCCAGAACTATAGTTCGAACTTAAATACTCGTGCTGCAAATGTGGATGAGACTGAAGATCTCTCACTTTGTTCCCACTTTGCCAGAGTTGATTCTCTTGACTCTTCTAAACAACCATATCGTGCGCAAGGTGGCATGCTCTGGCATGTTAGGTTTTATTTCTTGCATTTCTTTTTACTTCCACATTGCTGTAACAGTGGTGATAGCAGACATTTTTCTCTTATTCTTGAATTTAAAAAAGGACACGTGGAATGTTTTAACATAAATTATGTTTACTGTAAGCTCCTGACAGAGAATATTCATCAAATTAGTTACATTTCTTTCTATTCCTAATTTTCTACGAAAGCAATATAACAGTATGTGAGAGGTTCCTTGGGAGTGTATCTCCTTAAATCTGTCTTTATAGTGAATTACATTGAACAATTTGTCTAATACTGAAATACCCTTAAATTCTTGGGATGAGCTCATCTTGACCTTCAGTCTTACTGTATGGCTGGATTCAAATACTATGAAATTTAATTAAGATTTTGGCAACTAATGTACGTATGTAAGACTAGCCTATAAATTTTTCCTTAAACTTTACTTGATTGTAGTATCAAAACTACATTAATCTTACAAAATTAAATGCAAAATTTCCCATATCTATGATCTGAAATAAGATGAAAGTTAATCTTCTTTGAAAGTTTGTTAAAACTTGCTTGACCAGTGTCTTTTTCAAGAGAAAAGCCCTGAATAACACTTCTATTTCATTTATGATTATTGGTCAATGTCAGGCTTTTACTTCTTCTTGGGTCAATTTTGATAATTTATAGTTTCCTCAAAATTGTCCTTTTTACATAGGATTTAAAATCTGATAAATTCTTTTATATCTGCAATTATGCTTTTTCTTCACTCTTGATCCCATTTATGCTTTTTCTTCATCACATTTGCCAAACATTTCTTTTATTGGTCTTTGTAACCAGCTTCTGATTTCTTAGCCAACTCAATTTTTTTTTTGTTTCACTAATGTTTTCTTCATTATTTCTTTGCTTACATTTACATTAGCTTACTTGATCTTGACAAAATTTTTGGAGTTAAAAATACTCATTTACCTTTATTTTTAATCATTCTTTTCTAATGAATACATTTAAACCTCTACTCCTCACACTTTTTTTAAAAAAGATTTTATTTATTTATTTGAAAGAGAGAGAGAGAGATCACAAGTAGGCAGAGAGGCAGGCAGAGAGAGAGGGTGAAGCAGGCTCCCTGAGCAGAGAGCCTGATGCAGGGCTTGATCCCAGGACCCTGAGATCACGACCTGAGATGAAGACAGAGGCTTAACCCACTGAGTCACCCAGGCGCCCCTCTATTCCTCACATTCTAAAGTCTCCTTTTACTCAAGTCCAAAACAATCACTTCACATCCAGACACTGAATGAATCAAACCGTTTTCTTGTTGACTTCCACCATTTGGCAATCCATTTATGAAGCCAGAACTTCATAATTTAATCTTTTAAAACATTTCAAATCAATGTCTGTACATTTCCTAAGCATTAAGCCTTAAGTTTAATAAAACTGAGAGAATTTTTGGAGGAATCACAAAAAATAAATGGAAAAGGAAAAGCAACTTAAAATTCTTTGTGTGGAGACAGCTTATGGAAGAAAACTGCATGTGCGCACCTTCCAAGAAACTGGCAAAATATCTGAACAGTTCATCAGTTATCCCCTGTAAGAGGAAAGGAGTCAACAAGAGTACAGTTTGAGAACCAGGCTTTGTAAGGCAAAGAAGAGATAGTCTACTCTCTCCATTTGCGTTTAAGGTTAATCAAAGACTGTTCTCCAACCACAACCCAGGGTCATCATCATGCTGGGAGCTAGAGTTACCACCATAAGACCTGTCAAATGAGTGGGCAGTGATGAGAAGGAGAGAACTCCACAAGTGTTATTTAGGAAGAGTTGAATGAATTGATACACAAAGCAATGACAGCTAAGTAGTGGTCCTGGTGAATATAAAGGATAAACAGCAGTACTCCTCATGGGTTATTTGTTCAAAATGATGTAGGACTTACAAAGTCAAGGCTACAAATCGTAAATGTGTATCTTGAACTTTTATATACATATACACCTGAGTGATCACTGTCCAGATCAGGGCCTAAGAAGGCTCCTTTGCATACTTTCCTAGGTAGTACACCTTTCCTAAAGGTAACCACCATTCTGACTTCTATCACCATGGATTACTTTCACCTGCTTCTAAACTTATACACGGGGTTAAATGAATAGAATATACTCTTCTGTATCTGTCACTATCATTTTCTGAGATTCCTCCATATTGCTGTATGTCTCTGTTTCTTAAAAAAAAACAAAACCTGCTGCATAATAAACTGTATGACTTGATTTATATACTCATTCTACTGGCGGGTTGTTATCCAAATATTTTTGGCATATATTTATGTGTATATATATGTGTGTGTGTGTGCATGTGTACATATATCTGCCATGAAGATTCTTACAGATGTCTTTTGTTGGCATAAGCATTAATTTCTATTTGGCATATACTAAAAAGTGGAAATACTGTGCCAGAAGTTATGTTTATGTTTATCTTTAGTAAGCACTCCCAAACATATTTAACTTACACCAGTTTTCACTTCCACCAGCAATATAAGAGTTTCGATTACTTCCAATACTTGCCAAAAGTAGATACGGTTACTCTTTTTCATTTTCAGGTATGCTTTAATATCTTATTTTAAATTTGCATTTGATAAGTAATTACATTGGGCACCCTTCCATATACTTATTGCCCATTTTGATATCTAGTTTTACAAAGCATCTGTTCAACTCTGCCTATTAGACTTCCTTTTTTGCTCTTGAACTACACACATTCTTTACAGTATTCTGAATCGACATTCTCATTTAGATACATATTACAAATACCCATCACCTTTTTACTCTTTTGGGAGGTCTCTGAGAAACAGAAATTATTCATTTTAGTTAAATCAAATTTATCTATCTTTTCCTATATGGTTATGCTTTTTGTGTCTTAAAAAGTATCACCTACCCTAAGTTTATGAAAATATTCTATGATTTCTTTTAGATATCTGATTATCATTTCCATGTGTGATGTGCAATGGGCATCTAGGTTCATTTTTTCCCAAATGGATAAGCAACAGACTAAGACTATTTTTTTTTAAATTTTTTAAAAGGTTTTATTTATTCATTTGACAGACAGAGATCACAAGTAGGCAGAGAGGCAGGCAGAGAGAAAGGAGGAAGCAGGCTCTCCGCAGACCCAAGAGCTTGACACGGGGCTCGATCCCAGGACCCCGGGACCATGACCCAAGCCAAAGGCAGAGGCTCCAATCCACTGAGCCACCCAGGCACCCCTCTTTTCTATGTGTCTATACTTGGGCCAATACACCTCTGTGCTAATTTCTGTAGCTGTATTATACTAAGCCTCTGTATCTTGCAGTATCAGTTCTCCAGCTTTCTTATTTTTTCCTCTTTATTGCCCTGCCCATTCATCAATTTCCACCCAAACTGTGAGCTGAGATTTTGACTGAGAATGCACTGAATCTGTGGTTCAATATGCACAAAACTGACGTCTTCCACTTACTTAATTTCTCGCAGAAATGCGTTGTATTTTCAGTATAGAGGTCTTGAACAACTTTCAGGTATTTCAAGATCTACTCTGACGATTTTTTTGATTACATAATTGGATTTTCTATTCTGTTTTTTAACTAAGCATATATAATTATCACTGATCTTTCTGTATTAACCTTATAGTCAACAATCTTGATAATCCACTTATAATTTCTAATAGTTCAAATGTTCCTCTGAAGTTCCTAGGTACTCCAACATGTCATCTACAAATGTTTTATTTTTCCAACCTCAATACCTTTTTTCTCCTCGTTGCGCCAGCTAGAATCTTAACACAATGCAAAATGGCAGCAATGGCAGCGAACACCATTGTCACCTTTTCCTTCAGTGGGAAAACATTCAGTATTTCATCATTATGATGGTTGCTTAAGACTTTTTTAAATGTAAATTCAATTTAGTTAACATATAGTATATTATTAGTTTTAGGGGTAGAATTTAGTTATTCATCAGCTGCATATAACACCCAGTGTTATTACATATATCAAGTGCTCTCCTTAATGCCTATCACCCAACTATCCCTTTCCCCCACCCGCCTCCCCTCCAACAACCCTGTTTGTTTCCTAGAGTTAAGAGTCTCTGATTGTTTGCCTCTCTCTCCATTTTTATCTTATTTTACTTTTCCTTCCTTTCCCCTCTATTCATCTGTTTTGCTTTTTATATTCCACATATGAGTGAAATCATATGGTATTTGACTTTCTCTGACTTATTTCACTTAGCATAATACCATTTCCATCCATGTCATTAGAGATGGCAAGATTTCATTCTTTCTGATGACTGAGGAATATTCCATTGCATATATATACATCTTTATCCATTCACCCATCAATGGACATCTGGGCTCTTTCCATAGTTTGGCTATTGTGGACATTGCTGCTATGAACAGTGGGGTGCATGTGCTCCTTCAAATTACTATTTTTGTATCCTCTGGCTAAATACCCAGTAGTGTAATTGCTGGGTCATAGGGTAACTCTATTTTCAACTTTTTGAGGGTTCTCCTACTGTTTTCCAGAGTGGCTGCACCAGCTTGCATCCCAACCAACAATGTAAGACGGTCCCCCTTTCTCTACATCCTCGCCAACACTGGTTATTTCCTTAGTTGTTAATTTTAGCCATTCTCACAAGTGTGTGGTATATCTCATTGTGGTTTTGATTTGTATTTCCCTGCTACAGATCCTTGTAGATATTCCTTAATATATTAAGGAATTCCTGTATTCCTACTTTCCTAAAAGATGTTAACACAGGTCATATGCTTTTTCTCTATTCTATAGATGTAGTGAACTACATTGGCTGATATACAAGGATTAAATGAACACTTTACTTGATTGTGATGTGTTTTAAGTGTACCACTGGATTCAATCTGCTAATATTTTGCTTCCCAAAGGTAACCATTGCCCTTACTTATAATATGCTATAGGAATTTTGCCTGTTTGGATTTTCAAATAGAATCACACAGTAGAAATGCTTTTGAGTCTGGCTTCTTTCACCCAACATTGTGTTTGTGATTTCTTCACACTGTAGTGTGCAACTGTAGCTGGTTTACTTTCCCTCTGTATAGTATTTCAAAAGGCATCATAATATAGTCCCTTACTGCATTCTTATTGGACATTTGGGTTGCTTCCCCTTCAGGGCTATCTCTATATAAGGATATACACTCTTGCACATTCTTGTACATTCTTTGAGTGCACATACATGCAAACCTTACTGAAACTGCTCAGCCAAAGGGCCTATCTAACATTTCAAATACTACCAAACAATTTTCCAGGTGTATAATTTGCAGACCCATCTGTAGCATATGGTAGTTCTCATTTCTCCATCTTCTCCAACAGTTGATATTGTGATCTTCTACATTTCCAGCAGCTGTTTTCTTTTTAATCTTTAAGATTTATTTATTTTAGAGAGAGCATGAGCAGGGGGAGGGGCAGATGGAGAGAAGGGGAGAGAGAGACAGAGAGAAGCAGACTCCCCACTGAGCAGGGAGCCTGCCACTGGGCTTGATCTCAGGACCCTGAGATCCTGACCTGAGCCAAAATCAAGAGTCTGCCGTTTAACTGACTTGGTCACCCAGGAACCCCAACAACTGTTTTTAAAAAAATATATATATATACTTCTATTGTCTAAGACAGTAGCCACTAGCTACTAGTATGGCTAGTAGGCAACAGAAATGGGGCTGGAGCAACAGGGGAATGGAGATATTTACTTTTTAACTAATTTAAATTTAAATTTAAAAGCTGAAACTTTGAATTTGGAACAATTTCAATATGACAATCTACTTTTTCAACTCTAAATTCTATGAAACTGAAATATAAAGGAAGTATTTCTGATGAAAATTTTGTATCCAAATTGGGGTTGGCAGCACATGTAAAATACACAATGCATTTGAAAGTTTTTTTAAGTAAAATCTCCGTTTTTTTACATTGAAGGTATGTTGAAATAATATTCTGGATGTATAGGTTTAAAAAATATTAAGATAAATCTCATCTGCTTCTATTCACTTTTTACATGTGGCAAAAAGGAAATTTAAAACTACATTATGTGGCTTACACAGTATTTCCACTGGATAGTGCTGCTCCATGCTACATATACATATACAAGACAGATGAAAATTCAAGAATATACAGCCTGCTAAAGTGTGGATATATTGGCTGCAAAAGTGGTACATAATACTTGTTATATAACGCAATTTCACTGCTCTACTTCAACAAAGAATCCGCCAGTTTAAACACAGGTGCACCCTCTAAAAGGGAAAACCTTAACTCTAAATTTAAAATAAAATGCATAATGACTACAGCACACAAGATTCTTTTAGTAACAAAAAATTAAACCAAGTCTTCTTGGCTAGTGGTTTAAATCACAAACAACCTGTAGCAAAAGGAAGTCTGGTCTTTTAAACTACACATTCTTAACAGGTGGGGGGAGGGGTCAAAGAGCCTAGTGCTGGTCGCAGATTTTAGTTATTTTTTAAAAATTAAACACAGACACCAGTTAATACAACTATCTAATAAGCTAATCACATCATAACAACATCTAATGCCCTTTGAGAGAGAATGTGCAAGTAATAAAAGCAGAATGCAAAGGGATCCTTCCTGAATTCTTTAGCTGAAACCCCCAGAGCAAATCCTCCACATCACCAAGGCCCTCCGTTTGTGCGCTTCGAGGGTGTTAGTTATTTGCATTTTTCTGCAGGACAAATAAAAACACTTGGTCATCCTCTCACTTGTAGACAGCTCAGACGGGAGTGAAAGGCAGGCTTGGCCTCGCAGGTTCTGCAAAAGACAGGACTAAGGAGGCGCAGCTGGCCTCTGACACCAGCCACCCCGCTTGCTGGCTGACCTTACCACCTTCGGAAGAAAACAGCCCCTAAGCCTGAACAAAGCTCTCCATATCCACCTCTGCTACTCGACAGGTGGGCAAGGCTGGCGGGCCAGCTCCCAAGGCCGACTTACCCAGATCCAGAGCCTGGTCGCTCCTGAGCAGCGCGGCCTCGGGCTGCTGCTGTCGCTGCAGAGTCCGCGCCTGGCCCGCCAGCTTGCGCACGCGACACTCGGCCGGGAAGCACTTCTCCAGTAGGCCGTTCAGCACCACGTTGACACGCCGGGCCTGCGGCCGGGCTGTCCCCGACTCCACGCAGCGCTTGCACACCGTAAGCCCGCACGGTAGGGTCACCGGCTTGTGGAGCAGCCGCTGGCAGCGCGGACAGCCCAGCAGGTCACGGGGCGCGACCGGCGCCGAGGCCGGCTGCTCCCCACGCGGCTCCTCGGGGGCGCGGTCCGGCCTCCCATCCTGTAGCCGCCACTCGCGCCGGCCCAGGGCGCACGCGAGGCTGCCCACCAGCTCCCCTAGCTCCTCCGGCCGCAGCGCCCCGAGCCGCGCGGCGCCGCGGAACGCGCCCAGGGCCTCGGGTAAACGGCGCGCGCGAGCCAGCGCGTCCCCCAGCCGCAGGCATAGGCCGCGGTCGGGCTGCGCCAGCCCGGCCAGCATCGAGCGAAAGAGCTCCGCTGCTATTTCATACTCGCCGGCGCGGAAGGCCTCGTCGCCCTTCTCCAAGCGCTTGGCGAACGGCTCCCCGCAGTCGCAGCCGGGGCACTGGGGCGGGGGCGGCGGCGGGACCGGTTCGGGACTCATAGCTGCGAGGCTGCGGAGCTGTAGGCCGGGACGGAAGAAACCTAGGCGAGAGGATGCTCCGCTGCCTGGAGCCGGCCGGCGGAAGCGCGGCCGCCGCCTTCGCCGAAAGCCACGCGCGTCTGGGGGCGGCCGCTCGCGGCTGCGGCTACCAGTGGCGGAGGCGGGCGCAAGGCTGGGGCGGTGTCCCCCGCGCGGCGTGGGAGGCCGGTCCCGCAGGGCCACAACCCCACCCGGGCGGGGGCGGGGCAGACACAGCCCGAATCCCCGCGCAAACCGAGCGCCCTCCTCGCCCGGCTTGCTTATGTAACCCAGGCCGCCTGTGAGAACGTGGCGACCCCCTCCCCACGTCCGCGTCGCCTGGAAACGCTCTCCCTCCTGGTCCCGGGGCGGCCGGGCGCGCGTGTGCGTGCGCGTTCGCCTACACGCGCCCTTCGCCGCGCGCTCTCTTCCCGCTGCTGCGGCCGCGGCCGCGCCCGGAACAGGTGTCCAGTGCCGGTCCCGCGCCCAGCTCTCCTCTCCAGTCGAGGCAGTTACAAAGCACGTCACGAATTTGATTCAGGAAACTCTCTTAGGTGACAGGAGGGCCTAAAGTGGGCACTGAACAGATCTCCAGCAAGCTTCCTAATGGAACTCTAAATTTTGCACCGGACATTTTAGAATTGGAATTTAGAACAGTAGTTTTAATAGAGAGTCTAAAGAAATCCCGTGCTAGGTGCTGGGAGGAGGAGGAATCTGAGAAATGGCAATTGTACTGCGCCCTGGATTTAGAAAAGCAGAAATAGGATTTTTAAAAATGTCTCCTGACTTGGAGTACTGCAGACAGAAGTTGCTAGAAAGAAGGAGTTAAAAGCTACATTGGTGTATGAGCAAGGACTAAATGTCCTGTCTGTGCTCATTAAGCAGCTTTTAGAATTCTTCACTAGACCTGGCCTATTGTTTCTCTGTTGTTCCACCATTTATATTTTATGTATTTGAATGCAATCAAATGCAATATGCCAAAATCCGTATGTTCGTTATGTCAAGTCAAAATTTCTTTATTCTAAATTTGTGAGGCTTAACATTAAATCTAGTGACTAAGGAAATATAAAATACCCTAATCAAATCAAATCAGATAACAGTTACAGTAAAGTAGGTTTTGATGTGTTTCTCATTACTGAATTATTCCAAACTCTCTTTTTAATCACTTTTGAGTTTTTTTAATCTACTTTTATACAGTAACAATTCACTTACTTGAAGTTTGCTTATTCAACAAATTCACAACCAGCAACCAGAAAGCTAGGAGGAAAAAGCTGAGAAGTTAATACTACAAAGACGATACACTAAAGATTAACATATCTTTCCATTTAAGTCTTCTCTGATTTGTCTCAGCGATGTTTTGTAGTTTTCAGTGTACAGGTCTTATACTTTTTTTCACACTTATCCTTAAAATTTTCCATAATTTTTGTAATAGTGTAAATAGCATTGTTTTTTAAATTTCAATTTCTGCTTGTTGCTAATATATAGAATCCAATTATTCATTCCATAGGTTACTTAGAGGTATGTTACTTAGTTTACAAATATTTGAGATTTTCTAGGTAGTTTTCTATTATTGATTCTTATTTTCAATCCACTGTGGTCAGAGAACATACCTTCTATGACTTGACGATGCTTAAAATTTATTGAGACTTGTTTCATCATTCAACTATGTAATATATTAGTAAATTGTCCAACGGCACTTGGAAAGAATGTGTATTCTGTTGCTGGGTGGAATGTTCTATATATGTTAATCAGTTGGTTGGTAATACTGGTCAAGTCTTCTATATCCTTACTGGTGGTCAGTATATATGTTTTACTGATTATTGGAAGAAGGTTATTGAAATCTCCAACCATAATTATGAATTTATTTCACCTTACAGTTTTATCAGTTTTTGCTTCATATATTTTGAAGAATCAGTATTAAGATGTCAATTCTCCCCAAATTGATTTATGAATTCAAATCTATTTCAACCAAAATCCCAGCAAGCAGGAACTTCTGCTCTGACCTCAATTCTAGGAGGAAGGACTATTTGGCAAAGTGGGAGTGATATGAACTTGCAAGAAATTCTTTGTTAGAGTGAATTACAGACAAGGAAAAAGAAAGCGGTATTATTTAGCATGTACCTTAAATCTTAAAAAGAATATTTCACAATTTCCAGGGAGAAGATAATCATGAATTATGATGAAACTTTATAACAGAAAGGAGACTCGTAAACATTAATTTCTGCCAATGTATTATTGTTATTTTTTCAGTGTTCCAAGATTCATTATTTATTCACTACACCCAGTGCTCCATGCAATACTTGCCCTCCTTAATACCCACTGCCAGACTCACCTATCCTCCTACTCCCCTCCCTCTAAAACCCTCAGTTTGTTTCTCAGAGTCCACAGTCTCTCATGCTTCATCTCCCCCTCATATTTCCCCCAACTCACTTTTCCTTTCCTTCTGATGTCCTCCATGTTATTCCTTATGCTCCACAAGAAAATGAAACCATATAATTGACTCTTTCTGCTTCACTTATTTCACTCAGCATAATCTCCTCTAGTCCCGTCCATGTTGATGCAAAAGCTGGGTATTTCTGATGGAGGTGTAATATTCCATTGTATATATGGACATTATCTTCTTTATCCATTCTGCTATTGAAGGACATCTTGGCTCTTTCCACAGTTTGGCGACTGTGGCCATTGCCGCTATGAACATTGGGGTACAGATGGCCCTTCTTTTCACTACATCTGTATCTTTGGGGTAAATACCCAGTAGTTCAATTGCAGTGTCATAGGGAAGCTCTATTTTTAATTTCTTAAGGAATCTCCACACTCTTTTCCAAAGTGGCTGCACCAACTTTCATTCCCACCAACAGTGTAAGAGGGTTCCCTTTTCTTCCCATCCTCTCCAACACTTGTTGTTTACTATCTTGTTAATTTTGTCTGCCAGTGTATTATTAATTGAGGTCACAGTGGTAGTGGGAATTGAAGGTAGGTTCAGATTACACCCAACCTCACATGATGTTGTAGACTGTAGCTTTCATTTTGAGGGAAGTGGGATGCCATTGGAGGGTTTTAAGCAGAGGGCTGACATGATTTGACTTACATTTGAAAATGTTCACACTGGGTGTTATGTTAACCTACAGCAGGTTATCGTACAACCTCAATAATAACATAAGAAACTTATACTTCCACTCTCCATCCCACCTTTTGTGCTATTCTGTCCTAGATTTTTTTTCTGGAAAAAAAAACAACAACTTCATTTTGCCTTTCATTATTTTTAGTGATCACAGAATTCTAAGTAGAATTACTTTTTTTCAGCAATTTAAAATGTTTTCCATTGCTCTGGCTTACATAGTTTTTGATAAGAAATCTTGATTATTCTTTGTTCCTCTTTAGGTAAGACGTCTTTTTTTCTTTTGATCACTCTTAAGGTTTTTTGCTTAACACTGTTTTCAGGAATTTGATGTGTCTTACTGTGTTTTTTGGAGGGTAGTTATTTTCATTTTTTGGGTTCATTGAACTTCTTAGACTCAATAAATGTATATAGTTTAGATCAAATTGGGAAATTAGGGAGCCATTATTCCTTCAAATATATGTTTCTGTTCCTCCTTTCCTCCTTTTAGTAAAGCACACTAGAGTACTTGATATTATCCCATGGGTCACTGAGGCCCTGTTCATTTATTTTCAGTCTTTTGTATCCCTGTGCTTCCTTTTGGATAGTTTTTTGGATACTCTATATGCATTTTGGATACTATTACCATCTACTGCTATGTGTTTAAATTCACTAATCTATTCTTTTGCAGGATCTAATCCGTACATTTTTTCCTATCTGGTGATTTTTTCTTAATTTTCAGAGATTTTTTGCCCCTTAAAGAATGTTATGCACTTATTAGAAGTGAGATTTACAAAGGATTTTTTTAAGACATAGACAAATGTTTATGAGATGATACACAGTAAAATATATTCATTAAAAGCATAAATTAAAAAATAAAACCAAAATTATACAATTTGACCTCAAAATTTAAAATGCAAAGAAAAATGACCAGGAGAAAATATTGCAAATATTAAGAATGGGTGTTGTTCCCAGGAAACAGGATCATATGAGTACTCTGTTTCTCTGGTCTCCTTATACAGTTACTACTTTCAAAACTTTTACAGAGAGCATTATATTGCGTTCAAAGTAAGAACGATAATCCCTTTTTATTTATTTAAAGATTTGATTTATTTGAGATAGAACAAGAGTGAGACAGAGAGAGAGCGTGCACAAGCAGGGGGAGCAGGAGGCAGAATGAGAAGCAGGCTCTCTACTGAGCAGGGAGCTTGATGCAGCGCTCGATCCCAGGACTCTGGGATTATGACCTGAGCTGAAGGCAGACGCTTAACTGACTGAGCCACCCAGGCGCCCCGACAATTCCTTTTTTAAAAAGCAGTACAGAATGGCTGAGCCATCCAGGTGCCCCATATCACCATTCTTTATCTATTTATTTATTGATGGACCCTTGGATGCTTCCATAGTTTGGCTATTATAAATAATGCTGCAATAAACATAAGAGGGCAGGTTTCCCTTTGAATTAGTATTTTTGTATTTGGGGGGTAAATGCGCACTAGTGCAATTACTGGATTGTAGGGTAGTTCTATTTTTAACTCTTTCAGGAACCTCCATACCTTTTTCCGCAGTGACTACATTTGTTTGCATTGCCACCAGCAGTTTACAAGGGGTTCCTTTTTCTCCAAATCCTCACCAACACCTGTTGTTTCTTGTGATGTTGATTTTAGCCATTCTGACAGGTATGAAGTGATTTCTCATTGTAGGTTTGATTTGCATTTCCCTGATGATGTGTGATGTTGAGCATTTTTCATGTGTCTGTTGGACAGTGGGATGTCTTTTTTGGGGGAAAGTGTCTGTTCATGTCTTCTGCCTATTTTCTAATTGGATTGTTTGGTTTTGGGGTGTTGAGTTGCATAAGTTCTTTATATACTTTGGATACTAACCCTGTATCAGATATGTCATTTGTAAATATCTTCTTTCAGTCAGTAAGTTGTCTTTTGGTTTTGTTGTTTCCT